TCGCGCTTTTTGCGCACTGAAGCCGCCAAACTGACATCATTCAAGTCTAAAACGTTGTACAAGGACATCTCTAAGGCAGCTACCAGCCGGGATAATGTCAAATACATAGGAATGCGGTATTCAAAAGCTCACTTTTATTTTGTGTGACTCCGGCAGTATCAGAAATTGTAAGCTTTAATGGAAGGGATATCTCAAATTTACTCGCTGCTCTCAAGAGGGTCTTTAGAAGCTTTCCAGTCAATTTTCGGTTTAGACGGTCTGTAAAGTCTGTCCAGTTGAGACATCGAAGTCCACCAACCGTGAAAGAGTCTTAAAGTGCATCAATTACTACCAGCCATATTATGGTGCTAGCTCATAAGGGGCCGACAATTTGACTTTTTTGGGGGGGGGGGGGGTATTGGTTCTTTCAGAAAAAAAAATATATCCTGCAGACTGATTTCGAGGGAAAGAATTCTTCTATGAACATTTATAAATACAAAAATTCCCTTTTGAAAGCATAATTTCTTTTGCCATTATCTAAAAAGCTTTCCTGAAAATTCTTTACAAACTTCGCTGTCTTGGTTGAATTTCAAAACAGGATAAGCGCTCTGCCTTGTAGAAAACTTGGTCGAAGTCATTGAAGTCAATTTTCCTTGCTGAAAGCTTTTCTTTTTCCACAAAAAGAAAACTGAGTATTCTTTTGAACTTTCCCTTTCTATCTGTGTCTTCTAACAGTACACTTCCCATCTTGCTACACGAAAAAAACTCCCTACGGTCTCCACGGGAGATGATTCGCGTTCGTGAGGAAAAATCGTCAGGCATAAATTATAATCTCGTTCCCAGATCTCTTATTAGAGAGCTTTAGATTCTGAGACGAGAACGACTACGAGTACGAGATTTTGTCAGTATAGATCGTTTTCACTGTCACGCAACAAAAAATTAAATTGGAAACCGTCCAGTGGAAGAAACCAAGAATATGACATGCTATAAAAGACTAATATATAAACAAGTCGCAGGTCTTTGTGGCCCACAGTTTCTGAGTTATTTGCCGAAACGTTTCAGACACCTTTGTAGAGCTTTGTATGGAGACGCCATATTGGTGCACCGTTTTGGTGCACCACTATGGCCGCCGGAAATCAATAAAAACATCTGGAGTTCACTTTTTCTATAAAAGCTCTTTCTTTTCACTCGAGATCTAGCATACGTACGCATAAACATATCTTCTAATACTTGAAGTGGTTATACTGCTGAAAATCAAGAGGAGAGACTTTTTTTGAACGAGACGGCATTCGCATTTTGGTGACACGCACTGTGAAAACTCGGAAGTTCAAATTGCTGTATTTTCGACATGAAACATGCTACGGAAATGGAAACTTGTACAAAGATTTACTTTTTGTTTATCTTCAACCTAGTGTAAATAAGAATTCGTAAAACCTCGCTATTTTGACTTTACAATTTGATGACGTCACAGTGAAAACCATCTATAGTGTTCGCGCGTAAACCAGCGTCGTTTGGGAGGGAATACGTGGTGGCCGTCGTCATTTTACTACGAGTTTTAGTGAGTGTCGTAGTGGCGGGAACAAGTTATCAAATGTTAGAAATTTTAGCATTTTGCAATCGGGAGAGGTGTTTTCCTCCTTCAATAACGATAAAAGTGCTAATTTTTCTGATGAAAAAAAGTACAATGAAGAATTCCGGGGTGTCTATTTTTTGACAATACGCAAAAAAACTTTAAATTAAATCTCGTACTGACTTGAATTTTATCCGATTACTTCGAGTCGTTACTACTCCCTCAGTAACATTTGACGGCATTAACGGCCGGTCGATTCAGACGTTACTTAGGGAGTAATAACGACTCGAAGTAATCGGATGAAATTCAGGCTAATCTCGTACTCGTAGTCGTTCTCGTCCTGGAATCGGCCATTTCGGAGTTGCGTAGGGAACTGGGACGAGTTTCAAATTTAAACTAATGATAATCTGACACCACCATATAAAAGGTCATGTTGAGATTGGTTATTTCACCAAGTTTGGTGCTCTAAGGTGGAACAGGGATCAAGTTATGACTCTTGAAACATGCCGGGTTAAAGATCCATACAAACGTCTGTAATTTTGTGCCAGCGTCCCCCAAAACCGTATAAACTCTTAATTTTTTTCATGATTTCTGTGATATTCCTGAAAATGGGCAAACATGGTGATTTTCGAATTAGTTCCTTCCAAGTAGTAGATGCATGATGAATTTTACAGTTTAACAAAAAAAATGAAACATATTTTTAAGAGTTTATATGGTTTTTTAAAAAGAGTAATTAAGGCGCGTATAGTAAGAATTTCTCATAGTGCTGAAACGTATCTGAAACTAAGGCTATTAAAAAAACTACTTTTGAAACGTTCAGTGTTTATCTTAGGTAACTGACTAGTACTTCGTCTTAATCTAAGGAGGACGCTTTGGTTTGGGGCAAAATAGGGTACAACGGGTGAGAACTGTCGCTGCTAATTTTCTTGAAGAGTTTCCTATCACATTTTTCCAAGACTTGGCTCGTGGATATTATAACGGTTTTAAAGAGTAATGCCTCTTAAAGCATCTTTTTAGGAAGCATTGTACTGTATTTAAATCCGTTTGGCACGCGCTATAAACCGGGAGACCGCTGATGTTACGTGTGCATGCCTTATTCCGTCGGTCTGAAGATGGTGAAGATGGGGAGATCGCTCAGTATCTCGATCATTTTTCTTTTCACAGAAAAATCAAAGATGGCAGTCCAACACCAGATGAACTGGAAAGCCTGTCAGAAAAAATCAGTGACAAGTGGAAAAAGCTTGGTCGTCGGCTAAAGTTCCATGAAGCACAGATAACAGAACACGACAAAAACAATGATGCACTTTCTGAAAAAGCTTACAAATTGCTGCTGGCTTGGAAAGGAAGGGACGCCTCAGCTGCAACTTACCGTGTTTTGCACAAAGCATTGTCTGACATAGAACGTAAAGATTTAGCACAAGAGTTTTGTTGCCAGTAAAAGAGCTATTTTACTATTTTCTTTGCATTTTAAAAGTACTGCAGCCAGATGTTGAAAATTTAAAGGAGACAGTTTGCAACGGTGCATGCCCTTAATTACCTTGACCTGGAATTGCAAAGAGTCTAACGTTTCATCCACTCTCTGTTCGTGTTATGTGGTCTTTTACTAAGTCTACTTAACATTTATAGCGAAACAAAAAAAATTAGCCTGAACACAAGTTAGATAAATAGCTTTATTTTTGATAAGTAATAATAGCCTTTCTGTAATAATATTAATAATAATAAATTATATTAAAACAATAAGAATAGTGTAAATGATAATAATAACTTTATTCAAGTGTCAAGGTATTCAGCTTTACAGCTACATGTAATATGCGAGACTGGTAAAATATTTTCATGGCCATGTCGACACTATAACGGCGAGTTTTTCATGTTGACATGAAAAGCTATCCAGTATAGTATGAACACGTGATTACACTGCACCAAACTGTGGCACAGAAACCTTTCCGATATCAGTGTAACCAACCTCGTTCCCAGGGTTCTCTTTCTTGCTTCGAGAAGGCAAGAGGGAGAATCCTGGGAACGAGGTTGATATGTAACCACCCACTTTCAAGATCGGCGGGACGCTGCTTCGCTACGTCACAAAACCGCGCCGAAATCACCGTTTTCATGCGTGAACAGAAGGCCTATCCGATATGGTTTTCATGCCGCTGCAAGAAAAATCGGGTATAGCGTAGGCGTAGCCTTAAAATCGTTTAAGTTCGTAACTTAAATCTGAAATAACTTCTTTTTATCTGGAAGTATTCATAACAAAAACTAGATGATTAAAATATAGAGGGAGTATATATGCATCAGCTCATAAATCCGGACACATCTACTCTTCCGTTTTTGTTCGTGAACGAGTTAAGACTTTTAGTTCTAAGATTTCTGGGGAGCTCTCAGGTTATGGGGGGGGGGGGGGGGGTCGTTATACGGCCTTTAAGTTTGTCTTTTTTCACTTCTGGAAAGTTGTTCCCCCCCTTAGCAATTTGGGGGGGGGTTTGGCCCTTAATTTTACAAGTAATTTATTATTTCCCTCAGTCCTGTCCCGCGGGGGCCCCCCCCCCTGTTGGGGGGGAAGGCACCAAAAGCGTTATCTGTTAGAGTTGTTTAAGATAATGATTATATAGTATATTTATATCTAGATATCTGGTTAATGAGTTGAATAAAACAACAAAAGATGTAAATAAAAAAGGGATAATTTAGTATGTACTCCACCCTTTTCTTACGTCTTGTTTTTTTTTTGTGTTGTTGTGTTGGTTTACTTGGTGTTTGTTGTTGGTGGGGGGGCTTGGGGGTGGGGGGTGGGGGGGGGGGGGGGGGGGGGGGGTCTGTATACAGGCTATCAGATTGTCTGTTATCACTTCTGGACAGTTGATCCCTCGCTTAGCAACTTGAGTAGGTGGTTGGTCCTTCAATTTATCAGTCAATTAGTACTTCGCTCAGTCCTAGTCCGTCAGGGTCGCACCCTCAGTTGGGAGAGTAAGGCACAAAAGCGATTACTGTTAGCGATTTTTAGTTCTTGTGCGAAACATGTTATGAAAACTATGAAATTAATGCAAAAATATATCCCCTCATTTGTTTTTTCCTCCATTTGTCTTTTAAACCAGAATGTGATCATTGTGAGGGATTTTGAGTCCGCCGTGGATCGTATGTCTATCTAGTTTTTCCAGCGATTGATGGCATGCGATGCAAATATTCTAGCAGCATCTTGTTCAACGAGTCTCGTTTTGCAGCAAAGTTGCAAAACAAGGTGCACGTTTTTGTTACTGGTCTTTAATACCGTACCTTAGAAAAACGAAGGAAAAAGGAGTAAAAAGTGCCGCAGCGCTGGTTTATTCGGCACTCTCTGTCCTGATGACGCAGTCCGTGCCTATGTTTGCGTGACGTTTTTCGGTAACGCGCTCATGCGTGCCCTTTGCGTTATTACGATCACGCATGCATGTGTTAGACCTCCAAGCTAGTGTCTTCCAAAATGACGCAAGTTGGATATTTCGAATCTCCGGTTGGACTTTACGAGGTCACTGCTGATAACGATGGCGTAACGAGCATCAAGCTTCTAGGAACGACTTCAGCTCCTACGAAAAACGCGCCAAAAGGTAGTATGAAAGGCGAGCATGCTGGTTCGCCGAGCTCTCAACACATCGAGAACTGTATCGCTTGGTTAGATGCCTACTTTTCTAATTCTTCTTCTCTGGGGGAAGTTAAACTACCAGCGCTCAATACACGAGGCTACGAAAACAAGCCATTTTGCCGTAAAGTGTGGCAGATTCTTAAAGATCACGTGAAAGCTGGGGACACGGTGACGTACGGAGAACTAGCCAATATGGCGGGAAATCCCAAGGGAGCTAGAGCAGTCGGAATGGCCATGAAGACAAACCCAATCCCTATTATCATACCGTGCCACAGGGTTGTGAAGAGTGGAGGAGATCTTGGAAATTACAGCTCGTACAATGGAGTTGCTACCAAAAAATGGCTCCTACAGCATGAAAATGCTATTATTAAAGGAAACTGATGACATTTGTTTGTGGTTAAAGCATGGTTTAAATCAAGTTTTCCATTGTTCAGTTTTGTTGAACTAGGAGCGCTACATGTACACTCAATTATTAGCTATTGTATACATCCTATAAGCTATATGCTGTATGCTGTTATCTCATAAATTGATTGCGTCACACAACCTTCTCAAGCTCATTAATAATTCATAAAGAAAATACAAAGGAAATTAATGTTAATGAGTGTTTTGAAATCAGATGAGAAACTGCTCATTTTTGCATCCTTAATTTCTCCCTCTAAAATCATTTTGTTTGAGAAGTAACATCAAGCATTCAACACAGTGTTTCATCAACAGATGAAACACCTCAAAGTTTGTCAAAAATACTCCGCTGCACTTCGTATTTTCAACTCTCTTCTCGGTGTTTCATCTGGTGATGAAACACTGCGTCTCAAGCTTGATATATTACATGAAAGCTTCAAGCAGACCAAGCAAGAGGGGCATAGTGAGGGCAAGGTTCCAGGCGTTCAGAAACAGTCCCCTTTCTTTTGACCATGGCTATGAGGCCCTATAAGGGTAACCCTGACAAGGAACATGAATTTGAAGCAACAACATAAGACAGGTGAATGCGGACAGATGACACTGAGATTATTTATTGAAACTGCAACAGTGAGGAAGACAAGTGCAAATACAATGGTGAAATACTGATAGGGACATGTCATATCCACAACGGCCACGTTTCTTTGTCTCAGCAGACAGTCCATACATTGCTTCTTGTTTAAACGTCTCTAAAATGGCCACCTCTCTACAACGGCAATGAACACTGCAGCATGTCCCCTAGTCTGCTACACAGCCGCTTTTAGTGTCGTCACGCAATGCCAGTGGGAGGAGTGTTGCCTGATGACACTAAAAACAGCTGTGTAGCAGACTACATGTCCCCCAGAACGGCTTTTTTTTTCAGCAACTGATGAAAAATTCAAGAGTGGTCATGAAATTTGATCTATATGGCACTTTGATGATTAATCGCAGAAATCGTGTTTTGATTGTGTTCCATTTATACTCCTGCAGTAAGCATAAATTGTCTATGATACTTATGGCGCAAACATTGCTCAAGTACAATACAAATGATCAAAATAAACTTTGTGATGTTGTGCTGCAAAAGCAAGCACTGTATATTAACCTTAAGTCCCAGAAGTGACTAACAACAATAATTATTTCTCCTAGCAATATCAAAACATCATCAAGAGAAAAGGTTGTGAGAATTATAAAATAATCATGATCACCAAAGGGAAAATGCTTTGATCTTTTATCAAATTCTCTCAACTACCTTTTCAAGGAAATGTATGGAGATCAGTTGGGAGAATTTTTGTATGGATATAAGGGCTTAATGGGTTGAGATTGCTTTTCACACTGACTGGACTTTGAACCAGAGACTGAATATTAAAACCAAACCCTCCGATTTCTGTCATTTTTATTTTTGTTATTCCCAGCACTAGCGTCACATGCTTATGCAGCCTGAAGAGAGAATATATTCAGCCTATGTATGTCTGTACACAGCCTATGTGTCTGTAAAAGGAAAGAAAAAATAGTGCAGTCGCTTCTCTGTTGCCACCCGACCGCATTCCCAATGTTCGCCACCTCCGAGTATGTATGACGTATCTGTTGCACGTGGCATTGTCCGTGGCATTGCATAAATTTGTTCAAAATGGCGGATGCCGGTAGAACATTGTTGTGAGCCGCAATATCACAGTAAATATGCTCGCTAGGCTGCAAAAGAACTGGTTTTTAATCGGGATCGTTGTGGTGATTAGCTTAGCTAAAATTGCACCGTTCATTGGCGCTAAAGGTGGGATTTTAAAGCCCGAAATTACTGTCAAGTACGTGGCTGTGTCAACTATCTTTTTGAACAGTGGTTTGTCATTGAAGACAGAAGAGTTAAAAAGTGCCCTTAGCAATGTGCGATTGCATGTATTTGTTCAGAGTTTTACGCTGGCCTTTGTCCCTGGTTTGATGTCACTAATAGTGAGAATCTTGCAGTTTACGAGCTTGAATGAATGGCTATTGAAAGGACTATTGGTGGTGGGATGTATGCCTCCCCCAGTCTCATCAGCCGTGATACTTACAAAGGCTGTTGGTGGAAATGAGGCAGCAGCGATCTTCAACTCCGCGTTCGGAAGTTTCCTCGGAATATTCGTCACCCCTTTTCTACTGCTCGTGTTCCTAGGATCCTCTTCTGGAGTTCCATTTCTTTTGATCGTAGCCCAGTTATCCATGACCGTGGTATGTCCTCTGTTAGTGGGGCAGTTTTTAAGAAGGTACATAAAGGACTGGATGGAAGAGACCAAGCCTCCATTTGGAACTATCAGTAGCTGTGTTTTACTGTTGATAATCTACACAACATTTTGTGATACATTTTCTCAGAAAACTGGAGACATTGATTCAACAGATTTATTATCTGTTATTGTCATTATTATCTTATTACAATGTTGTTTATTGGCCCTCACGTTTTCCTTGGCAACCATGAAAGAATCAACATTTACCCCAGCGGACACAGTTGCTATCATGTTTGCTTCGACACACAAATCTTTGACTTTAGGCATTCCCATGCTAAAAATTGTTTTTGCGGGCTACAAGTACCTTTCATTGATCTCAATTCCTCTGCTGATTTATCACCCTGTGCAAATTTTGCTAGGTGGCCTGTTAGTTCCTGTGGTGAAGGGGTGGATGTTAAGTGCACAACAGAAAGAAAAGGCAGCTGTCAATGCAGCTATATAGTCATTACTGCTCAAAGCAGGACTTCTCAAGACTGAGAGGCTGTTTACATGGTACCGGAATGACTTTCATTCTGGAATGAGTTTCGTTTCAGAGTGAAGTTCATACTGCTTTCACATGATAAAACAAAGGCATCAAATAAAAATTATTGCATGTGTGGTTTTTGCTCCAGATCAGATACAGACTCATACCCAGTCGTATTGTGAGATCACTATTTTTCCTTTGTCCCTTCCCATGAGACCCTGCAAATGCCTCAACCTAACCCGAATTTTCTCTCACCCCCAAAACACATAAATAGCAACTGGGTACAAGTCTGGATCAGATACACATACACCACTCACTCCAGACAAAACAATTTGCAATTTCAATCCAGAACAAAGTTCGTTTCAGTTTACATGATACCAGAATTTAACTTTTTTACAGGAACAAGAATTTCATTCAGAGTGAGAACCGGAATGAATTCATTCCAGAATGACTTGTACCAGAACAAAATGTTGTTTCAGTATCATGTAATCAAATACAGAGAAATAAATGGAGATGGAATGAACTCGTTCCAGAATGAAAGTCATTCCAGTATCATGTGAATGGCTCCTAAATACTATACAGAGTATGCTGTGACTTTCAAGCAGTTAATACCTGAAAAAGGTGGAAACCTGGATATGCAGTCATTCCTTGTTTGTGTACCACTTCCATCTTCAAGCTCTGAGAGTGATAAACAGGTCTACATGTTATATGCATTTAATTATATGCATCTTTTAGGTGTGCTATGTGTGGTTGTGGATACGCAGTTTGCAGTCATACAAAATATGTACTTGAACTATGTAATTTAAGGTTATTTACTAAGTGTATGCTTTGTGGCTTAATTTTATCTTTGGTTTTAATTTAGATTCCTTTGTTTTGGGATATGGTAAAAAACAATAATGATTCTGAAACAAGGGAAAACAAAATTAAAATCAATAAATAATAAAATTGAGCCATAATAGTACCTAGTAAATCAGGGTGTATCAAAATAGTTTATTTTTCAGTTATTGAAAATATTCAGAAGTAAACACAGTTGTACAGCTTATTTCCCTTGGGGCACTTGATTTATGTCCAAGGTGTGGTTCTTACTTTAAAGACCTCGAAGGTGTAGAGATTTATTGACTTTTGAGGCATTCCATAGGATTATATGTAGCTACCGTAGAGATATTATTTAAGGTTATTTTTCTCTTTGAAATATTATATCGCAGGACTCTGTGCCATGTGCCATTGGTGCAGACCAAAAAAACCAAATTGATCTTAAGATCACTTCATCTTTTCAAAACCTTACTTATTCAAATTCTAATAGTTTAAAACAGGTTGTAAAACATCTGGGAAAAAGATACAAATGTAGTCTTTAAATTAGTAATTAAATCAATAACAATTCCTTTTTTTTCAATGTGAAGTTTGGTAAACTCTATACTCAGATTTTTGCCTTATAATTTTTGATAGCTTTTTATCTATGGATGGAAGCTCCCAGCATTTTAGTAAAACTTAATACCTATATTTGTCTCATGCTAACACTAATATGTAAAATGTTTACTTGTTAATAAACCAGGGTCCTTCAGAGATGTTTTTTGGTGATTGATGATGGAAACAAAATAATTGCCAGTAATAAATTCCTAACTTAAAAGGTTGGGATCTAATAGTTTGCAAATTAAAAAATGGGCAAGTGGAAAATAAATTATGTGTCAGTGAGTGGCAGTCATTATTATTTTATCAGTTCAGTTACACATTCTTTATTTATATCTTTATCAAAGGATAAAGCAGCCTTTTTTATTCCACTAGAAAATCCTTCATCATTGGTCAGCGAGTGCTTTAGCTAATAGTTTGGTGGATATCTAAATCGTGTTGAGGGTGGAGTGAAATGCAAAATCATAAAGAGAATACAGGTGACCATGTTCCACCCACTTAAACAATGCACACCACTGGAAACTTCTGGGTTAAAAATGTACTCTGTGCCAAACCAAAGAATGGGGTGTTAAAAAGTGGAATCATTATTATGTACCCAGATGAGTTCTAACTACAATAAAAATAAACTACCTTGGGTGGGCCCGGGGTTTTTGAACCATCATGTTTCATCTGTTCTGAGACACCATAATAGTTTTACAACAGTCAAAAACAGGTCAAGTGTACAGGGCTGTCAGCCCCCCACCACTGCAAATATTGAGAATTGATGGGGAAGGGATTATAAATGACGTCATAATGCACAGGGCACATGACGTCATTTGTGAAAAAAAATGCACAAAAAAGATGTTGTGGGAATTGTAACATTTGACCTAATTGGTTTACTTCCCACCAATCACAGTATTCCTTATATTACAATGGCATACCGGAGTTTGTGAGGAAATGTTCGATGTTAACAGTAAATAGCTGAAACAACGCAAAGTATTCGGAAAAAATTTCATTGTCGGGAAGTCCATTCTACAAGAATTGGCAAACTTTGGCGATTATCTGGGAGATTTCTGACTCTTATCTGAGGACCAGGAGAAATCTGAAGGTCTGAATCTGCGACTGGAAGGTACATGTGATGACAGCCCTTAAAGAACGTCACTATGAGGCTGATTAGTAGAGTGAAATAGCAGCCGCCCATATTTCAGTCATTTTTTCCTTGGTTGTTGTTTGCAAAGATACAGCAAATGAGTATCTTTTTAGGGAAATACCACTAGATAGAGATTTGACTCACTGAATAACCAGGAACTGACCAGATATGTACTTCATGGCTGAAGCCATATCATACATGACCCCATAGCTCTAGTAAGTACACAAAGCCTCTGAATACCAGAGTATAGCATTATATTAATAGCCATAGTAGCTACAGTGTATAATGTAGTAGCTGTAGTATTCGCGGTGGCTGAAGAAGGGTTTATGTGGTAGGCGACTATATGGTATTCAGCCTCGGCGGGGGGAACGGTGAGGGGTCGCTCTGCATCAGAACGAGGTAATAAACATGGCTGCCGAATGCAGGAAGACGGAAGCCGATAACGTTTCATAGAAAAAATGGGCTTTTCCCCCGTTGATTTCAAGAAAACTCTGCTGCAACTACCGTAGATGAGAAAAAAATCTTGTCTAAGATGTCTGTACCACCTCGCTGGCTTAATTGTCCCAGAAAAAGCAAGATAATCGCCGGTAAGCTGTGTTCATGCAACCTCGACCCCAAAAAAGCATCCACTGCTGTACAGATTGTAGGTCTTTAAGACTCAGCATATTGTTTAATGCAAGTAGAATTGAAGAGGTTCATCATACAAATAAAAACTCATTTACTCATTCATTTATCATTCAACTTTACGAACAACGATTTTGACTTTTATCCAAGTTTTAAATAATGCCACGGAAGTCAGTTTTAAAACATCAGCTTAAAACGTATTTAGCTTAATTTTTTTAATTATAATGTTTTAATGGTTGAACTTAATATTAAGCCAAGGCTAGGCTATGTTACATTTACTTACATCACTGGGCTTAACTACAGAATACAGGGTAAATTTTCGAGGTATATACCGAGCGGTCGAGCCACTAAACCATATAACCTTGACTGAAGAGCCACTAAGCTGCCAAGCCACTAAAAAATATGCCTTTACTTGTTCTCTAAATTTTATTCTTTACATCCTTTTTTATGTCTGTCTTATACCGTAAATCATCTATTAAGCTACCCTGGAAGCAGAGGCTACTTTTTTGTGGTATGAGCTGGCATGCGAAAAGTAGCCTCTGCAAACAACCATTCAATTCTCTATTGTACATGTGCGAGATTCGTCACGTGATTCTCAAGCAAAAAAATCATCGCGTGTTTCGCCAAGCCTATTGCTTGAGGTTCACAGGAATCAAACTTGCCCACAACTCTGCTCGCACTTTTGGTTTGTTTTTTCATCTTTTTCTCTATGGTTTTCAGTAATTTGGCCACAAATTTGCCGAAGAAAAAAAGTACCCCTTATTTCCTTGGATCACCTTTTTCAGGAAAGTATAGGCTGCCAGCTGTAGTTAAGTCCTGTCTGGTTTGCGGGGAGCACATTTAACTCAAAACGGCACTTTTTTTCGGCTTATTGTAGTACTTAGTAATTCATTCATGTTACAGAAGATTTTTAAGACAGACTTAAACCTTCTCAACACCGTTGTTAACATTGGACTACAGACATATTGATGCTATATATCAAAGGCCCAAAAAATGTTCTAAAACGTTTGACACAGCATAACCCATACTTCAAACAATTTTTTATTTTCAGTTGATAAAGTAAACAATAGTTGTGCTCAAAATGAAAAATGAGTTTACTGACAACCCTAGGCAGAAAAGATGCTTGAAATAAGTTGGATGCTGGTTGTATTTCTGATGTTTGTGATAAGGCAGACAACAGAAGGCCAGATGACAGCAAAGAGTGCTAAAATGTGTCATAAAAAGAGAAAAATTAAAGAAGAGAGGATTAGTGGACTCTGTTCTGATTTGAATTAAAATTATTAAATTTATTACAAACTATTGATGATTTAAAAATTCATCTAGTATTTTTAATATTTAGCTCTTGGGTCTCAGGGTTTCTTATGATATACAGCGTGTATTGAAGTGGCTGCATGATAAACCATTGACAAAACCTGAATTGGACGGCATTGGATCAACCTGAATAACCCTATCCCTAACCTTTTGTCATTTAGTGAATAACACTGTACAGGGGTTTAATCCTTTAAGCCCTAAGAGTGATCAGCATCAAATTTCTCCTTGTACCATCAATGCTTTGTAAAACAGAGTGGTCATGAGAATTACGGACATGATCACCCAAGATGAATTTGCTTGATATTTTATCAAGTTCTCCCCACTACTTCTGTAGGAAATGAATAGGGGCGACAATTGAAAATTCAAATTTTGATCTTAGGGTTTAAAGGGTTAGCCAATCGAGTCTAATCCAGGTTTCTTTGATGGCAATTATTGCCTGAATTATACATAAGAGAATGCTTCCCCCTTTATATGTGATATAATAAACAGATGGATTTCTGATTTTTTTTGTTCAGACAAATTTCTTGCCTTCAAAACACCACTGGGACCTCGTTATGATGCCAACATTCCTGAGGCAAATCGATTTCAGCTGCCAATGTTGTTCGCATACCTTGATTCATTAAAGGTGAGAGTGGATCAATTTTTTTTTTACCAATTTTTAACCATACTTTTAAAAACTAAGGCTATAAGGGCTTAGAAGGCTTTAATTTGGGGTCACATGGCAGCACTCCTAACGCTAAAAGCCAAGTTTTGCCACTCTAACCGTAAATCAATGGATTCCGAAATAACGATGAACTATGTTGTGTTATTGTTTTCTGTGACCAGTGAGGAGACACCTTATGAGCAGAATTTTTGCTCATTTCTGCAAAGAAAAAAAAAACAAAATTGATGATGACTAACAGAATGATTTTTTTATTTTCTTTTAGGTAAAGTTAGGATTGATTATTGACTTGACAAATACAACACGCTTCTACGATAAAACAGAGGTGGAAAGGGCAGGAATCAATCATGTCAAGATGAATTGCAAGGGGTTGGTAAAATATTAGCACCGTGTTTGTCATTTCTCTAGCAGTTTACGGCTCACATGCATCCACAAGAAGCTGAAAATATAGAATTATCGATTTCACAACACATTAAACAAAAGATGGCTCTTTTTTCTGTGTTCTTACTCCCAAATGTGATCCCAGAGTCATGAAAATGACTTGTGACCAAAATATGATGTTCTGTATTCTGCAAAATTTACTGCATAGGTGAATAGAAAATAAGATATTTGTAGATGTATGTACGTAAAGTTTTCCTGTCCTATCCTTATTACTAAAACCTTTAATATCTGGGGAAACTATTTATCTGTAGCAAAATGAAAGATAATGGCCAGATTTTATTCAAAATTATTTATAATTATTAATTCAGTCATATGCCACAGGCAAACTTTCAGTTGTATGACTACAAAAGTGGTAAAGGAGCAAGGCAAGAATTAATTTCCTCACATTGTACTCCAAAGTATTATGCATGTGGATTTGATGACTCAAAATATGAGGAGAATGTGTTTTTTCCATAAAATGTAAGAATGAAATAGATATTTGGCCATTTTATTTAAACAGGTATTTGGCCATGGTTATTTAAACAATGTGTAACTTAGACCACAGTTTTAGACAATCAGTGAACCTCAGGATTAATTGTCTTTGGTTATTTGAAGTAAAAAATCTTCTTCCAGTTTGAGCTGCCTGTATAATTATGCCCTCTTGACCCCAGCACGAAAAGTACCAATAAAACTAGACTGAATATTGTTTAGACTTTGGCTTTGTCAAACATCCACTCAAGAGCCAACAGTTAGAAAGTTTATGTTGAGGTCAGGTCACTGTTCACGGCCAATTACTTTTTTACTTTGATGTACTTTATATTAATGGCTGTTACTTCTCTGTGGTCTTTACTGCAGACATGGAGAAACTCCAACAAGAGATCAGGTGGCTCTTTTCATCAGCATGTGTGATAGATATTTCAACCAAAATCCAGGAGGACTTATAGGTATGTGATCATGTGGATAGTTTTAGTAAGAGTAGAGTCCATAACCAAAGGGGTGCTACTGCCACAAGAGTACCACAGTCACAGGTATACCACCTTCACAGAGATACCACATGACAGGGCTATGATACACATGTAACTGTAAATCAATTCACTGTCACAAGTATCCAAATTAAAAATCTTTGAAAAATGCCTGATTGTTATTCAGGCTTACAATAACCAAGGTTCTTGTCCCTGAGGGTTTACAGTGCAACTATACATGAACTGAGGCCATTCAGACAAAAATTTGAGAGAAATTTTGAATTAGCCAATCACAAGTCAAGATCTAAACAATGAAATTGCACAAGATTGTACTCAGAGTCAGTTCAAAATACATTGCAAACCATTTTTCTAAGGGATGTATAAAAAAGGAATTGTGACATTTGTGTAAATCAAGCTGAAAATGTTTTGGCAACGTCTGGGTTTGCTGGAATCAAAGTCAGCAGCAAAGAAATTTTGAACAATCCAAACTAAAGGCAATGGTCGCTCATTTCATGGCAAACAGCGCTCAGTGAGTGAATGGCAGTGTCGGCGATTTGAGGGCGGTTGCAACAAAGATATGGGGCTGGTTACATGTAATGCAAATTGCAATATGCACTCACCAAGCTTGGCCCACAACAGAAAACTGAGAATGAATGTAGACTGCTCAAGAATAGTGAAGAAAATCGCCATGGTTAGTGGAATTTTTGTGGAGGCGAAGGGGGACATGAATAAGAAAGATCAGAAAAAATCTTCAAAGCAAACAAGTCAGTGATTGCCCAAACTGGTGATCACAAGCAATGACGCTAGTGAAATGCAGAAAAACAAAATGGATCGAAATCCACCAATCACAAACCATGACCTTTTTAACTTGTTCACTGAAGTAAACATGGGTTTCCTAGGGGGTCTGCTTAGATGATTGACGGAACAGAAAAACCCAAAATTCCTTCAAATAATAAAAACCATGTCTGGTGAGCAGCCATCGTCTTTAGTTCAGATTGTTCAAAATTTCTTTACTGCTGGTTTTGATTCTGCCATCGTGATTCCTTACGTATATGTCACAGGTCAAAATTAAAATTCAGGTTAAATTTTTTAACCTAGGTTGACGCTCAATTTCCTTTGTCTCTTAGCTCTAATTATTCATAAATTAGGGCTAGGAGACAAAGGAAATTGAGAATCAACCTAGCTTAAAAAATTTAACCTAAATTTAATTTTGACCTGTAACATATATGTTATGGTATATCCTTTAGAAAAATGGTTCGCAAGGTATTTTGAACTTGCTCTGAGTACAAAATTATGCACAATTTTATTGTTTAGATCTTGACTTGTGATTGGCTAATTTCAAGATTTGTTTCCTTTTTTGTCTGGGTGACCTCGGTTCATGTGGTCGCCCTGTAAATGGAATGTAGCTGTGAGCTACACAGTCATCATCACTGTCATCATCACCACTCAGATGTTTAGAATGTGACCTGAGAGGCTTAAATTATCCCAACCACTGTAATTTTATTGAAATTCAACTGGCTTGGCAGTGCAGCATCTACTGCCCAGTAAACCCAGTTGGAAGAGTGCTTGTATTCTGTGCTGGAGGTTCTGAGTTCAAACTCCAGCCAGACCACTAACCAAGGTCTTTAAAACACTGGTGGGATCATTGCAGCTGTGATTTAAACCCTTTCCAAGTTCAGATGTTTGTGTCATTGGGCGGTAACAATAAGCCATTGGCCTTATTGTCTCCTTCATGCTTGCACATCAGCTGGAAAGCAATGTTAAAGAACCTGTGACACTGTGTGCATAAAAATGAAAAGGGTAGGGAATGTAGGCCCCAGTGGCATTGTCTCTCTGACTTATGCCGTCATTGGCCTGGGTGGATTAGGTGAGATCAAACATGGACTGAAGCAGCTGCATAGTGCACCTTTACATGCTTATGTCCAATCTCATTTCTCTGGTTCCTCTGCAATTCAACCATTGGCTGCAAGCGTGGAAGGTTGGCATTTCTGATTTTGTTATTATACATGTATCCCTTCAGAATGACGTGGTCCGAAAAAATTAACAAATCCCAAAGTGCATACCAGCTGAGATAAAAATAATTATATCTTTTTTACGTCAGGTGTCCACTGCACTCATGGATTCAACAGGACTGGTTTCCTTATCATAGCTTATCTTGTGGAGAAAGATGACTGGAGGTTAGTGATTTTTTGGTTTAACGGGGTCAGATCAGTGAATTTACTTTTAAGATAGTCCAAACTTGTTCATGGTTTTGCCAGGGATGATTACCATGATTCTACTCCAAAATTAACCTGAATAAGGACAGATTAATATTAATATTATTTTTTTTGTGTATTTTAGCAAAGTGCTACATGTACTGCCTGCATCACAGATATAACTAAACCCCAGTTAGTAATGTCTGTGAAGCAGCACTGATATCCTTCTTTCTGGCACTGTTTTGCAGACAGCCTTTACCAGAAGTTTGTTATGTTTGCACTGGTTTTACAAAACAATAGTGAAAGAGATAATTAACCAAACCCCTAAGTCTATTAAATTAATAATAACTAGAGCTACCAAAGAAACCAAAGACCAAAGAAAGTACAGCAGAACCTCGATTTAACAAACCTCTATAATTTTATAACGAAGTCCTCAGTATAACAAATGATTTTCTTCAGCCAGGCCAAAATTACAGTAAAATGTATGGAACAGAACCTTGATTTAGCAAAATCCTCATCTTAACAAACACAATCTACCAGCGCAAATGTAAAATATGCCTTAAAATAACGAATAAAAAATGTCAGCATGTGATTAAAGATAAATACTAAACAGACCAACAAGGATAAATGGAGGTGTTCGATATAACGAACAAATTTCTCCAGTCCATTAGCACTTTGTTAAATCGACGTTCCACTGTAGAAGACTAGAAAAGGTGCAGATCACGCTGAAAAATGTGTATTATTGGGCATTTTATGTATTAAGCTTTGTTTTTTTTTCTTCACAGTGTTGATGCAGCAGTTCAGTGCTTTGCACAGGTTTGTGTTTAATTCTTGTAACCCATTGAGCCAGAGTAATCAATATCAGAGTATGTCTGTAATATCTTCTTAACATGTCACTAATTAATCATGATAATAACTATGAATAAATTATAAGCACACACACAGTAGCTCTTTATCTACCATTTCCCAGGTCTATGCAATTTACTTTGATGTAAGAACTAAAATTTTGTTGTTATCACACAGTGATGCTAAGCCTACCCTATGTTTCTTTAGTGTCGTCCACCAGGCATTTACAAAGCTGATTACCTGAAAGAACTTGTCAGTCGCTATGGTGACCCAGCAGAGACCATCGCACCTCCTGAACTGCCTGATTGGTGCATAGAAGAAGAAGAAGGTAGTGATAATGAAGAACAGAATGGAGAGATGACAGAGGATGGCAGCCGCCCAGATGGGAGTAGGAAAAGAATACGGAGAGATCCCAGGTTAAAGGTGAAGAGGGGTGTTCTCTGTTATGCCAAGATTTCTATAATGCCTTGTCATTTAACATTATTGTGGTTACACAGGGTTATCATTAAGAGCTGGGGGCCGGGGATTTTCCCTAGCTACTAAGAGAGTGGACCCCGGCTACTTTTATTGGAAAATAAAATAAAAATAGAACCAAAGGAAATCCCTAGCCATTTGATTCCCCGCCTACTTGTTGTATTTACCCGGCAACTTGAAATCTTAGTGACAACCCTGGGTTACAGCTTCCATAGAAACTGTAACACCATGCAGTCATGTTGTGTTTTTATGTGTATTGTTCACAAGTAACAAAAGTGTTTAGGGCCAGATACAAAATACTGTATGATTCAGTTTGCAAACAAAGAGACTTTATTATGCTCTAGTCATTGCTTGTCATTTTATCAAGTGAAGGAGAAGTTACTTTTTCAGAAATTTTGCAAAAAAGGGGTATTTGTGGTCATTGGTGTGCTACGTAGTATGAAGGTCCATACGCACATGGTGACAGGTTGTTTTGAGTGTACTGGAGAATTTTTTTTGAAAATCTTTGTCTCTGCAACAGAATTTTGTTGCCGCAACATGTTGCAAAAAATCAAATCAGACAGAATTTGTGCAACCTTTTATGGCGATAACATTTTGTTGCAGAGACAAAGATTTTCACAAAAATTCTCCCGTACTCACGAAGCAATTTGTCGCTGCAATGTGTCACCGCAACATGTTGCTGCAACTATTCGTCCCACCTGTACACATGGAGTGATCTGTCACCATGACTTGTTGCTGCAACTAATGTCACCTAGTGTGTTCCGGCCTTGAAGGTGAAGTGTGACCTGTTATGTCAAGAAAATAAGCGTGACCTGTTGTTTCAAAAAAATTATTTCACCAGAAGTCATGCTTCATTTTCTCTTCAACTCTAGTCATCGGTGTGCTATATGACATGAAGGTGAAGCATATTTTAATGCATCAGATAGATAGGCATCACCTTGTGCATCCAAAATCTTTTTTCCATGCAAGAAGTCACACTTAATTAATTTCTTTGACAAAACATGTTTTATTTCATGCTTATATAACATAGTAAGCCGATTAAATCACAAGTGCACAACAGATATAAGAAAAATTATAAACATGTACTCTCTCTAGAAAGCTATTATTCATTAGTAAAATCCAACTAGTGGTCTATTATCAATGCTGCGTTCTGATTGGTTGAGCTACTACTAGGCTATATGTTATAGCCCACTAGTAATGAAAAGCGTGGGCTTTTGGGTGGCAAAAGAGGATTAAAGTCTAGCTTTAACTCGCTAAAATTTTTTATTCTTGATAGTTTTGACCAACTAGTTGGATTTTACTAAAACAATTATTCCTCTCGGCCTCATGACCTCTGAGTCAATAGCCCATTAGGCCTTCAGCCTCATTGGCTATTGACTCAGAGCCCAGTTGGGCTAGAGGAATAATTGTTAATTATTCCAATTTTTTTTTCTGGTGAATAGGAAGCAAAGTTTATGGATGAGATAGATGGAATAGGGGTTGTAAAGTCACCTAGAAGAGAAGAAATCCAGGAACTCTGCCAGAAGATGTGCGGCTGGGAAGGGTATGTATTTGCTTATTTTAAATTTCAGGCAAAACTTTTGAATGATATAATAATCACACCAAAGATTTATTCACGTGGAAAAAGAATTATTTTGTGAATATCAATCTAGAAGCAAGCTAGTGACGCTGACTATAGAGCTAGGAGAAAACGAGAAACGTTTGCTTGGCAGGCTACATAAAGACTGAACAGTCAGCTGCTGTGGACGAACCTTCAAGGGCATCTGTGACCAGAAATTTTGAGGATTATGTTTCAGACATCTTTAATGTATGCTTAAGCATTAAAAAAGCACTCTCCTTCCTCTTGGCATTGGTGCCTGTACTTCTTGGCTGTCATCCACACATTTATTTGTCTTTGTGAAAAAAATGATGCTTTGTAAATTCGCTGGTCATAGAGAGATTTTAATTCTTTTTATGGCAAATGCAAATGTCAATTTCTACCAATTTTTTAAGCTTTACCTTTATTCATCATTGTTTTTTTCTTATTTCTACACAAAAGTGAGTATTTTCATGTCAGGTTCATCTGTAAAAATTATGTTTACCAGTTGTATTTGTTTATTTTGTAACTTTGGAAATTGTCAACCTGACATGTACTTTTTCCTTTTGTTGCATAAAATCAGACTTAGAATCTCTCCGATGTGCAATGTCAAATGGGCTCTTTTAAATCTGTGATTTCTCCTTGCAACCAGCTATTATTGAGCTGGTAGGCCTGTAACCTGATTTTATGGTAACCGTGGTTGCCCATTTCTCTAATAGTGGTGGGTTCCCTGGAAGCCAGCCTGTGTCAATGGATGTACAGAACATAAAACTACTCCATGAGAAACCTTACAGAGTTAGTTGGAAAGCAGATGGAGTGAGGTGGGTTTCTAGCTCTTTCATGTGACTAGTGTTTAATTTCTCCTTATACTGTATTTATTCGAATAAGCACCCAACCTCGAATAAGCGCCCATCCTAAAGGCCGAAAAAGTTAATAAGCGCCCAGCCTCAAATAAGCACCCACCCCCTTCTCCTCCCAATCAAACTCAAATAAGAGCTCACCCCCACCCCACCCACTTGAGTGAATAAATTCTAATAAGAGACTTCCCCAAGGACGGAATTTTCTTCAGAGTATTTTTTACAGAAACCTTGCTTTGTTACTTCTTCGCGTTGTTATTAGCATTTATTGTTTTGTTGCAAAATAAATATACTTCACTTGCTGAAAATAGTCAAAATTTAATAAGCGCCCAGCCTTGAATAAGTGCCCACCTCGAATAAGCACCCACTTGCAAGGTCCAAAAATTTAATAAGCGCCCAGGGAGGTTTATCAAATAAATACAGTAATACTACTTGTTAATCAAACTGATAACTTGAGAATTCTTGAAATGATCTTCAAACCCATCACTGCCATAAGTAATGTATGGAGAACAGACTGTGTGTGCATGTCTGGAAAATATGCATTTTGTTGCCAAATTTTCAAATTTTAGTTTCAGATGGAAGGGGTCTTTCATTGGTTTGTGGTTTGTTGTTGTTTCACATCCTTTAAGGAACGTTGAATTTTTGTGAGTGTGTGAGTAAGCTTACACAAGAAAATTGTGAGAGGCGAAATGGTCAGGCATGAGCACTGGCTGAAAGATCCCCACCCTAGTCTTTAGCAGGTTGCCCGTAGGTGACTTATGACTCTCACAATTTCCAACAGAGCTTGTTTGCAGGGTACCTTTTTTAATATTATGCTCCCATGCTCACAGCAATTCATTTCTGCTGAACTCCTTTTTTTTCTAGATACATGATGCTTATTTTAAAAGAGAAAGAAATATACCTTATCGACAGAGACAACAACGTTTTTGCTGCACCACAGTTTCATTTCCCACAGCGCAAGTTCCCAAGAGAACACGTCTTTGACACTTTGCTTGATGGGGTAAGTCCTTCCTGTCTGTTGAAAAAAAAAAATCAGAATGGACAGATTTAATATTGAGCTGTTCAGACCATGAACTACACCTTGTGTCTTAAAATAAAATAATCTTGCTCATTTTCTAAATGTAACATTACTTGTTACCGGTATGGTGGGAAAATAAGGTACACGTTTTGGGCAGGGACTGGGTTGTAAGTGGGTTGATGACAAAATTGCTAAAGAAGTGTAACAGACCTTATTCGTTTTGATTGTTTTGTACAGTTGCACAAATTAAGATTATGTACTTATACTCAAGGCATCAATCTGCCTCTAAATTAGAATTTATTTTACTCCCATGCACTCTTTGTTTCCAACAAGACAAAGGTTCAAATCTCCTGAGTCAACATCTGATCACATAACAAATCATATGAGTGGATAAGGTACATTCTTTCCTTGAAAGTTTCTGAAGGAGCACATCCCGGAATACTTATGGGGAGCTTTTGCTTTGTGTCGACTGAGTTGTTACTAAATCGTTTTTAATATTTGATTTCCCAGGAAATGGTTCTTGACAAAGAAAATGAAAAGATCCACCCCCGTTACCTTGCCTATGACATCATCCAGTTTCAAGTAGGTGTCATTTTTCTTAATTTACAGTTAATTTCACTTTGTGATGTAAAGACTGAACAAATAGTGCCGTTGGAAAGTACTGCTGAAGAGGTTTCATTTGAATGGTAACACCATAGGATTTCATCCACAGACTCAAAAGTTAGAACTACATATTAAATAAATAGTACCATGTGAAAGTACTGCTGAAGAGGTTTCATTTGAATGGTAACACCATAGAATTTCATCCACAGACTCAGAAGTTAGAACTACATACTAAATAAATGGTACCATGTGAAAGTACTGCTGAAGTTTCCGTAGCTTGCAATTCAGTGACTTAAAATCTCAGTGAACTGCAACAAGTTTGCTGAATTTAGAGTTGATGACTTTTGTTACTTTGTTAGAGTGTGCACCCATTGGCAATAAAAACACAACCTTTTCCATACACGACTTAAAGTACCGTAAATCCTCCATAAAGCCCCACTTTCAAACGTGGTTAAAAGAGACAAGCCTACCCGGGGCTTAATAGAGGATTTACTGTGCTGAAACAGCAGTATGTTTTTATTTTTGTAACACAGGGCCAAGAGGTTGGCAAGCAGAATCACGATATACGAATGGTGTGTATTGAAAAAGAGATCGAGATGGCTCGAAGTATAGGGGTAAGTGTTTTTTTATGTCGTACGTTTTTCAAGGAAGATTTGAAACTCGTGACAAAACATAGGTACTAGTAACAGACAAGAGGCTTTATCCTCTCTTGTCTTAGATCACGTGGCTTCGTAAAAAACTGCTCTGTTCTTTTTAAAAATTGTCAACGTATTTAGCATGAAAGCTCTAAGGTAAAAAGTTCTTCATTTTCTGTTGTCTAGGATAAACAAACTCGACCGTGATTTCTTGCATTGGCAGCTTTTATCACTTGCTTGCCCCGGAGAAACCACGTGACATTGCTTTTATCTCATCAGTCCTTACACGTGCAAAGATGGCGGGTATCGTGAATAACGTCTATTGACCAGAAAATCTCCCGCCACTTTCTCAACAAGTCAGTGGTAAAACAAAGCTGAGTTATCGCGTGCGCTTTCCCGCGCTTTTCTCGGTTGGCCGGCTACGGATACAGTTTTTAATATCTGATTGGCTTATTTGACGTCTTTGCGTATTCCCATTGGCCAGGTTAGTACGCTCAGATCTGCGCTAAGCCTCTCGTTTAAAGTGAGTCGTCCTGCTCATCGTCTCATATGAATATATGTTTTCGCTCACACGCAAATTTTGAAAGCTCATTTTTTACATGATTAGTTGTGTACCAAGCTACGCTCTGATCAAGGAGGTAACTCGGAAATGAGCTCTTATCGCCTCTTTTGACTCGCACATGAGAATGATGTAACTTTTTTTCCAATTTAGGCACAGCAAGGACTCTTTGACAAGTCAAAGGAGCCTTTTAGCATAAGAGCGAAAAAGTTTTTTCACGTGGAGAAAGCTGAATGGGTAAGGACAACATTGAATGTCCAGACTATCCAACCATCCCTATCTTGTCGGGATTCTCCCCATTTTGCTTAAAAATCCCGAATCCCGACCCATATGCGATCGGGATAGGAAAAATCCTGATTTTGACATGTTCTTATTTTTAAAGGAATTCTTATGATGCTTATACAAGAAATTAACACCTATAACAGGGTATACATTTGACACAGGAATTATCCTCTCAGAACACCAGAAATGACGTTTCAGAACATCAGGATTTCAAAATTTTCTGGCAGAGAATACCCTCGGTAGTAGCACTAATGCAATGGCCGAGCAAATGCCTGAAACAAATAATTCAAATCAAAGTTAACAGGGTTAAGAATCCCAACTGGCCGGAGGCAAACCAGCTGGTTATTTACAAGCGTGGCCGAGGATTTGAACTTGGGACTACTGTGAACAAATCCAGCTAGCGGTCAGGGCGGGACTTGAACTTCGTATTGCAAGCCCAGCGCTCTAACCACTCGGCCAAGCTGCCGAGGGTCACGATGACCTCCTGAGCAGAACAAAAATGACAACACTTTATAATCGGAGGCTTCAGGATATAGCCATTTTCATGGTCAAAATAAAGCACGGCATGTTGCCAAGCTCAGTAACCGAACTATTTAAAACTAGTCACACAAACTATAACCTCAGAAACGCAGACTTCAGACAGGAATGTTTCAACACTACAAAATACGGCAAACACTCTCTCAGACATTTTGGGCCACTTTTTTGGTCCAAAATTTAACCGGGAGCTTAAGACAGACATTGCCTCTTTAATAGATGACTCGTGTAACGACTGTGTCCTTTGCAAGAGTTAGCATTAGTTCGCCTCACCATTTTACTCCTTTTTAGAGTTACTCAATTTACGATTCAGAGATATTATTAGGTAGTTATTTATTACAACTAGAATTTAGAGTTTAAATTATAATTAGAATTTACAATATATTACTAGAGTTGTATATAAAGTCTCCCCAATTAGTAAGGCACTGTGCCTGAGCTATAAGACATGAGACTTTAATAAAGTTCATTATTATTATTAAAATTTTGTTGAAGTTATGATTAATTGGTAACAGAACTTCGTGTCGTCCAATTCGGTCTGTAATCATACTCGTGATTAAACAAACTGGACTCCCTCTACTGGGTCGTCCGATTTTGTTAATCACTCGTATGATTACAGACCGAATTGGACTCCACTCAGTCCTGTTACCATTACTTACTGCCTCTTAGAAGCCTCCTAAAATATCGGATGGGTGTTCATACTGTGCCGTATAGCTTTTCGTGCCTACACGCAAAGCTACCCGGTATAACGTTAACATCGTCATTGAAGTCGTAGGTATCGTTTTAATCCTCCATCTAGTCTATTACTTTCACTGAAATTTATCTTTCTTTTTTTACAGATTTTAGACGCCTGGAGCCCAAAACTCAGCCACGAAAACGATGGCCTAATATTTAATCCAGCGGAAGAGGTACAAACAATTACGCCTCAGTTAATTAGACTGCGAGCGTTCTCTCTTTTTCTTCAGATTTAGTGAGGGGAGTGCACGCACGTGGTCATAATTTTCTTGTCTTGCGCGTTTCGCTTAGAAAAAAAAGGGATTGCTCGTAGTCTACTGGTTAATTGCTGTTAATTGTTTCATTAACAAGAAACTGACAAAACAATTTATTTACTGAACCTGAGGGTCTGTTGGTGTATTTCGACACAAGACGATCTCCACAGGTAATCGTTATTGCAAGGTACTCGGACAGTTCTTTTTAACTCGTGAATACCCGAAGTGTAGTTGACGAAGTTATCGCTGTAGGTTGAGATATACAAATGAGTCACTCATTCAGGTTTGTTGACCGGGATAGGCTTGCTCCGAAGTCGCCCGATATCGTCTTTGTTGCCGAAGTGCACTTTGGGCAACTTTGGGCGTGCATTTATCTGAGGTTTGTATTTTTGAAAAAAATTCGTAAAACAGACGGCAAAAGATCCGTTTTGTTGTTCACAATCCATGGCATTATATTCCGGGAGAAAGTTATTCTAGTTAACTGTCAGCCATTAACTTAGTAAGGAAATTAGATTCTCAACTGTTAACTCTGGTTTTATTCATTCTAGCCATATGGTCCTGGGCAGAGTGAGGAAGTGCTGAAATGGAAACCACATACGCTTAACTCCGTGGACTTTATATTGAACATAGGAAAAATCAAGCAGGAAGGGTAAGGGACAACTACCTGGTCACAAAAATGTTTTAAATCAACACATTATAAACTATCCGCCGAAAGGGAGGTGAACAGTGGTGGGAAAAAATAACGAGGCGCGAAGCGTCGAGGTATATATCTAGCGCTGTTCTTCGACCCTGGGGGAGCCCTGGGACAGCTTCCTTGCAGGCTATTGGTGAATTCAGTCATGTGATCAGAAAATAGATGCGCCAATCAGTTCTGACCCTGGTAGTGTAATTGTGACTTAATATCTCCTTTTTTATTCCAGTTGTATCCCCGAATTGGTTGGCACACTCATGGTTGGTGGATATGACAGACCTTTTGCTTCCATCAAGGTTGGTTTCACTTCGAGATTTTTCCAGTAGACCCCTGCACGGTTTTTTCAATTTTTTACATGGACAAGTTAGGGAAAATCCGTCCACAGCACTAAAAAGAGCGCCTTAAAATTAGTAAAATTGCCAAATTTGAAAGTGATACGTCGTAAGTGAGCCAAGATATAGCTCCGCAATGTTGCGCAAATTTACAGACGTTTGCATGTTGGGGGGCAAATTTGTGCTAAAATTTCGCGATTTTGAGGAGCTATATCTCCGTTAGCTTTCAACAAATCACTTTCAAACTTGGCAATTTTACTAATTTTAGGGCGCTCTTTCCAGTGGTGTCGACGGATTTTCCCTAGCTTGTCCACGTCAAAAGTTGAGAACCACCGTGGAAGGTCTGTTCGTGTAATACGGAAAACAAATAGGACACACAAAAGTATAGCCGAACTGGTCTCATTTGAACAGCTCACTATGGGATTTTATCTACAGAGTCGAAAATTAGAACCACCTTGTAAAGCATAATGATCAGTACCACTGGAAATTACTGCACAGTTCTTCATTTCAATGGTCACACTTTAGGATTTCCTCCACAGTCTCAAAAGTTAGAACCACATTATACAGCATAATTAACAGCACCACAAGAAAGTACTGCTCAGTAGCTTTCATTTGAGTTGTAACACTTTAGGATTTCATCCACAGACTCGGAAGTTTGAATGGTTACACCACAAGATCTCTTCCACAGGTTCAACAGTTAAGAGCAAAACAGCTTTTCTTGTCTTTATATTTAAAGAGACCCATCCTTTTACTTTATTTTCTGTGTAAATTTGAATACTGAAATGACTACTTTAATTACATTCTATGCATGGTTAAAACGTAATAACTTGCTGAAGTTTTTATTGAAGGTAACAAAGGAACTGAAGAGCTTAAACAAAAAAATTGTTGAATGTACCTGGGATGCTACTTCGAAACAGTGGAAATTCCTCAGAGTGAGAGAAGACAAAAGCTTTCCTAACGGCTACAACACAGCGATGAGTACGTCTGTTATGTTGAAAATTTTCGCAGAACCAACCCTTTGCTAGGATCCCTACAGAGAATAAAGCCAATTAGGCAGACAGCAACATGCATAAAAACAACATCAGCAAGGACTACTTGCTATAACATCGAAGATAAATTCGCCACTTCCATAATGTATCGGGAGAATGGGTACAAGCTTTCAGCGCAACTATTTCTGGAATTGTTTGGGTGAGCAAGCATTAGCTCTGATTGGTTGGTGGTATCCAAAAGCAACTGGTAACCAATCACTTCTTATTCTGTTCACTCAAATGTTCCCTGGAATCTTTGCGTGGAAATCTTGTACCCATTCTCCTGTGATTCATAGGGTGACTATTTAGTCCGGGCCGTTTGGCTTACGTTTTCGTGTAAGGGGCTGGAAAGAGGAAGTCATCCAAAACGTCCCAAGAGCCTTTGCGAAAAATAGAAATTAGCACCCTCAGTGCCAAACTTAAGCGAAATCAGCTTTCCTTTTTATCGATATGTAAATAATGAGTCGAATTATTTGGCCATTGTTTTATTTTTATCTATTGTTTACCGTTTGTCAAAAATTCCGACAAGTTTTAAATGTAACTTCCCGTTTACATCATATATCAACTATGTACAGGACGCCGAATGCTCTGTTGAATACCTACCCCGGAATGGCGGGGATTTCTTTCTCTTCTAGGTGTTTGTAAAAGTATTCAGCAGCCCGTGACAAGAGAGTGGCTCCTACAAGTCATTGAAAAGTACCGCTATCAGCCAAACCGCCACAGGGACCCCAGAGCATCGTCCTCGAGCAACACTGTGTAAATAAACTTATTAAAGAACAGTGGGGATTTCGTACTCTTTTAGGTGTTTTGGAAAATATTTAGCAGCCCGTGTCAAGAGAAAGGCTCCTAGATCACATTGAATAATATCAGTCAAAGGGTAACAGGGACCCCAGAGCAGCGTCTTCGAGTAACACCTTGTACATAAAGAATATTTAAGAACAGCAAGCTCAGTAGCCCGAAAGCAAGTTACACACTGTATTTGCAAAATGTATTGGAAATTTTTGCTAGAAGATAAGACCTTATCTGGGTAACCAGTAATTTTACGTAGGTGAAGGTTGGAGAAGTCTGACTGACGGGTTTCTCGCCTTCCTGGGACTTAACGATTTGTTTTTCTCAGCTGATAAGGAGGGAAACGACTAGTTACCGATAATTTATCTTCTTTGGAATGGAACGAAATTAGACTGGTCCGTTCTCGAAGTTCATCTGACGATTTCTTCTAGCAAAAGTGAATACACCCCTTTGGATACCAAGAACGATGATGGCCCCAGTAAAGGTCAGGTCAGAACTGCACCGTTACATGGTGGCATTGTAAGAAGCCAAAGATTACGGTGCTTCACATTTTCAAACATTTAGAGGATGCATCCCGGTGGTTTCAGCGAAAGATACGTTATCTTTTTTAAAAACCGGGTACAAACGAAGGGGTCGCGAAATCGTGCAGTTTTCCGAGATTATAGAAAGGAGGTCTTTAGATTCTGACTGGTTTTGCTAAAATGTACTAGGTTTATAATCAGATTTACTGTACATATTTAATAATCGTTTATTAAATATTGAAAGCAGCGCAACTCTAAAAGCTGGCTGCGTAACCTTTTTATTTCAAACTTGTGGACTTCTTCAGAAAAATTTGTGCCGCAATTTACCCGCGTTTAGCAGTCATCATCATCATCATCATCATCGTCATCATCCTGACTTTGGCACAGGCCATAAATTCCTCACAAAACTTACTATTTTGCTGTTATCGTCGTCATCATTATCTTCATACAAGGTGCCTACTAACTGTAGACGCATAATTAGAATACACGACTCAGTGCAATCAGGTTAATAAAGTTATTGGTACTCAAAGCAGCAATTAGCCTGTTGCAGGCTCCTATCTTGTAGGGACAGCGCTTCGAGAAAAGTCGCGCGAAAACCGTAAAGGGAGCTGGGGAGAGACGGATAAGTGGAGCCCGTAAGCACTGTTTTCAATACCTCATTCCGGTGTACCCTATGACTGGTCAATTTTTGCAGTTTATGTCAACCGTGTCAATAGGGACTTTAAGATCCAACGAAGCGACGGCA